ATAATGCCATAATAATTAATTCATTGTAAATAATGGAGGTTTTAATTGAATTTATTATCTAAAAAATAAATTCTGTATATTCACAAAATATCGACAGTTGGTAGTAGAGATAGATTAATTTAAGTTATCCTAGATAAATTATGTGAAAAGAGTATCAATAAATTAAAAAGGTGAAAATAATAATAGACAAACACCGCCGCCAAAGGCGGCGAAATTTTTTAGGGGGTAGGCAAAAATTTTTGAAGGCTGTTTGCATCCATTGAAAATCCTGTCATGTAGACGCTGTTTGCAATACTGATATTTATTATTATTACAGTATTGTGATTATTTAATGAAACATATTGACGATTAAATTCAAACCCATTCATATAAAATGATAATATTTGCAAAAAATAATTAAAATATAGACAAAGCATTATTGAAATTTCTTATATTATTTCTTTTGTTATTTTTAAAGATTATAATTATATATGCATGTGTTTTAATTAAATCGTCAATATGTTTCATTAAATAATCACAACACTGTAGAAGAAAAAAAATGCAATATATTTGTTAGGAACAATTTAATAGGCTAAATTTAAATGAAAAATTTTTAGCCTTTTTATCAAAAACCCTGTCCTGGCCCAGGCACGTTAGTAAATATATTATACCTGGCATCCCTCATTGAAATATTTTGTCACCTGAGTTAAAGATTATTCTATCTTCATTTTGTCAATAATTTTTTTTGATTGATTGATTATTTAAGAATATATTAATCTATTTACATAAAAAAACGAAGAATTTTAACTTATAAATAAATTATAGCTAGTAATAGATTATTCTATATCCCTATTTTTCCTTACTGATAAAAATATATTATTCTGATTCTTTAAAACATTTTCAAGTATTGAATTAAGAGTTTTTTTAACTGATGTATTTCATATAAAAATCCTGATATTACTGGTTCAAAAAACAAAAAATTGGAAAGAATATTAACGAGGTATGATCATCCTTCTTTAATTAAATGGGCCCTGATAGTAGGGTAAATTTTACTGCCAAACAGTGGATGCAAATTTACTGCACTGATGATTAGATGCAATGATATACCTAGATATATGCGCCGCCTGTCAAATGCGCCGCCGCCGGTGATTTTTGACTACGCCGACGCCGCCATTATTAAAAATAATATTTATTTTATATATTATTTATGAATTGTAACTAGAAGAAAAATAATATTAAATATTTTTTGAATTATTAAAATGTGATTTTATTTTTTAAAATTAATAAATATTATTTGCTATAAATTTGATTTGTAACAAACCAAGGTTGGCTCACTTTGGGCAGGTCTGTGACCAACGTGATAGATAAGATTAGGATAGTAAAACAGAAAAAGTATTGATATTATTATATATTTTATTATTTTAATCTTAATTTTTATTTTAATTGTTAAAATATTTAATTTTTTTTTAATAGATTATTTAAATAAAACTGATCTCATCCCACATTTAGAATTTTTTAAGGCATAATATTTTTATTATTAACTTTTTATTATGTAGAAATATGGCATTATTTTAGATACTAAAGATTTACCAGATAGAACAACCCTTAACCGGAGTGGATTAGATGATGTGTATTTATCAATGAAAGCATACATATGTCAACAAATTAATATAGGTCCTAAATTTTGTGCTATAACTTTTAAAATGTGGACCGACAAATATAGACGGCGAAATTATATTACCTTTACATTTACATTTCACGAAATAGATAATAAATTTAATATTGTATTTTATACATTGGCATCACATCATGTCACTCAAAAACATACCGCTGAAACTATTCTTTCCGAGATAGAAATCCAAGAAAATTTAAATGGTTACGGATGTAGGACCCAATGTAAAGAGAAGTGTTCTTCTAGGAGAATATGACCATCATTTATGTTTGGGGCATGGATTACATAATCTAGTGACAGTCGATGGAATAAAAAAAAGTTAATAAAATAGAAAATCTCATTAAAAAAGTGGGAGAAATTATATTTGCCTTAAGATTCAACACAACGGATTTTGAAAATATAAACGATATCGAAAATAGAAAATGTTTTGAATCGATATCATTTACATCGGATATTTTAGATTTGGATGATAATGACCTTTTTTATAAAGATCGCTTGGGGTTTGATGATGATAGTGAAAAAAATCATATGAGAAAAAACCTTAAAATTAAATGTGCTTACATGTTGGCATAGTATTTTGATAATGCTGGAAAGTGTGACTGGTAATAACAAAAATCCTATAAATATTCTATTAAATAGAATGGAGAAACCGGATCTAAAATATTTAACTCCGATTGGGATGCATGAACTTTTAAATTTCTTAGAACCTTCAAAACAACTTTTTAATTTTTATACGTCCAAAAAGGAGTTACTATAAATTTATCCTTATTATTTCGTAGTGAAATTAAATATCTTTAATTGTAAAAGAATATCATAATCCTCCCTTGCATCTCTTAAACAAAATATGCTTATTAAATTTGATCATAGATATCCAATAACCGATCTTCCGAAAGTATTTTAAAATACATAAAAAAATTTATATTATTTCTTTTTTTTACTTTGGTATTAGGAGCACTTATGGATCCTCATTTTCAATCTATAAACATAGTAAATGAATATTTAAAAGGAAAAAATATTACTCCGGTGCAATTTTTATGTCACACGGTACCTCTCTATGGCCTTACACAGACGAATTAACCGAATGTGAAATGACGGAAGTTGTTTCAAAATTCGATTATCTTACATTGGCTACGAAACATTTATCTGTTCATAACAATTTGAAACAACAAGACTATTTAACTAGTTTAGAAAAAAGTGTTATTCATTATTTTCGCCTTATAATTTATAGATAAAAGATTTCTTAGATTTTGGGAAGATAAGAGCATTGGATTTTCCAAAACTAACTTTCAATATTAGCTAGAAGGGTTCTGTGCGTTCCAGCTAAGAGCACACCCAGCGAGCGTGTATTTTCCACAGCTGGGCTCATTCTGAACTCAGAAAAATCATTATTATGTCCTATAAATCTAAATATAATATATGATAATTTTAACTTAATAAAATCATTAAATTATAGTTATAAACATAATAAAGCATAAATTTAATTTTATAAGTGTTTCCAATGAATTTATAATTTTTATTTAAAAAAATTTGAGTTAGAAAAATATTTGACGCCGCCGTACCGCCGCCAATTTTTGTGGCGGCGTCTAAATCGATTTGCCGCTGCCAGCCAATCATTTTAATTAAAGAAACGCCGCCGCCGATAAGGCTGTCGGCGCACATGTCTAGATATACTTAATTAAATTTTTTATAATCATTCATTAATGTTATTTCTAGATTTATTATCAAATATTTTGTTACAATTATGGACTCATATAATCATTCAAAAATTCACTAATATTAAAACAAATACTCTAAAAAAATAAGCACACTATTTATTAATTATATATTTTCTTATTTTTCAATTTTTACCAATGTAAATTACTGTCGGGTCCTGACAGTAGGGTAAATTACTGTCAATCAATTAGTGGATCATAACCATCATCCTCCTTTAATTAAATGGCCCTGACAGTAGGGTTTTACTGACAAACAGTGAATGAGAATTCACTTCATAGGATATGCCCCCTTTTGGGTGATGGAAGCCACTTAATTGAGTTTTATTAAATGCAATGACATACCTTAAATTTTTATATTAAATATTAACAGTTGAGTCTTTAAATCTTCCATCAAGTTTATTCTGAAATCTAGATATTTGCATACCATCTTTAAATCTTCAATCAAGTTTATTCTGAAATCTGGGTATATATTTAAGTATCATAATAATTTCACAGTTTCCATATGATTTATAAATTGAACTGACTGAATGAATGTTTAGTTTGTAAGGTGATTACTATTGGACCGATTATGCTATAATCATTTTTATTGGACAAATATATTTTAAAAAACACTATTGGCTAAATTTGATGGACGGTTTTTGAGGATTATTATAATAGATATTTACATGGAAATAAACGAAGAAAATATAGATTCATTTGTGTTTTTTTTATAAAGCGCTATTATTTTAATAATAAATTTTGCAGGGAATCTGTTGCAACATCAACATCCTCTTCTAAATAAATAATTTCTACATTTAAGATATAATAATAATCAATTTCCAGAATGTTCTTTGTATTTTAAAATAATCTAGTTAGTAATAAAGCATTTTGTTTTTTCTTGAATTTACATATATTAAGTCTTATTTATTAACTAAAAAAAATATATGTACACTAATTTTAAAATTGTATCTAAGTATTGTTGTAAAAAAATCTGATTTGGGTCGATTTTTAAAAATTGTCCAATTAAGATATTATTCAAAATATTATTATGTAAGCCTTGTCATTTGGCAAATAATGTCCAAACTTTCCTGCCATCTATGAAATATCCAGATTTAATATTATTTAGGCTATAATTTTAATCAGGCCGTTTCTTAAAATCGACCTGATTCGGAATTTTTAACAAGACTACTGCAGGTCTATAACATAGTTGAATAGTTCCATCATAATAATTTGTGACTTCTATTATATTATCAATATATTAAAAATATCAAAAAAAATAGATATCTTTGTTTTGTAATAATTTTTTAAAACTTTCTTATGTTAACCTATATTTGAATATAAATACAATAAAAATTTAATGTAATATCTTGATTGATTTGATAAAGAATTTCACCCAAAATATTTCTTTTAAGATCGTGGTTCAAATTATAAAATTATAATATATTAATCAATAGATTCCTAGTTAGAGAAAATTTAAATACTTAAATTAAATTTAAAAATCTACTGCTTTCAAAATTTTAAATATGAATTGAAAATCAAAGTTGACATCTATTGACACGGAATTATGTAGATTTGCCATGATACAATGACCTTTGACAAAATGCCAATCGTCTCATTTTTAGAAAAATATTAAATTTTACATATGTTTCAGGCATTTATAAAACAAAAATATATAAAATAATGGCCCAAAAAGATCTAAATAGTAACCCTTTTGCTGAACTATTAAATGATAATTCTCAAAAGACTTCAGCTATATCAATTGAAAAACATTTATTAAACGATGATAATTGTAAGTTGAAACAATTTTTATAATTTAATTTTAATTTGTTAGGTGCTGAAACAATGCTTATACCATTAGATAATTCATCAATAATTACTGTTGATCAAGCTAAATTAAAAGAGGATCAAATTATCGAAAATATATTTAAAATTACAATAAACCCTAATAGTATAAATATACATTACACACTACTATATGTTTTTCTTAAGAAAAACAAAATTCAAACCAATTATATTTTTTGTCTCAACTGCACTCAAATTTAAATAGCAGAACATTTATTGATTCCGAGTGTTTAAGTCAAGTAATTCATTTTATATTTTATTAAAGTTTATTGTTCTTATAAAATATATAGTCCAATTTTGAAAATTCAAAGATTTATTTTTTATATTATTCACATTTTTACAAATATAGAAAACAAATCCTTTCACTCATAAAATATTTTTAATTTATGCTACTTTATATATTTAATAATAAAAAAATATATGTTAAATCAGTATATGTTGCAGATGAACCAATCAGACTAATATATTATATCTTAGATTATATATACACTACCGGCCATAAATGATTACCCACCCTGCATTTCTTAACATTTTTCTTAAAATAAGACAATAACACACAATATGAGGTTTATCAAATTTATTTATAAGTTTACATATTATTGCATAAAATTACAAAAAAATAAAAGACATAGCAATTAATTAAGATCAAATTTTGGTCTCATCAACATGGCCACCTTTATTCTTAATAATTGCTGCACAAATTTTTGGTAATCTTTCAATGATATTTTTATTTGGAAGTGATATTGTTCTATTCTTTCTGTAATACTTCACAAAGGTGTGAATGAGAGGTTAGAGGGCTTTTTTGCGCTTGTCGATCAATGTGATCCCATAAAAGTTTGATTAGGAGACTGGGATGGCCAATCATCAACTCAGCAATACCATGTTGTTGTAGATTTTGTAAATTATCTTTGCATAGCCTGGATGTATGCTTTGGGTCATTATCTTGTTCAAATAAAAAGTTATTCCCTATCAAACGCTTTTATGATGAAATCATATGGTCCTCAAATATTTGCCGGTATCCCTCCTTGTTAAGGATTCCTTTAATTTTGACAATGTCACTGGTTGCCCTGGCACCAAAGCACCCACACACCATATCAGGCCTTCCCCCTAATTTCACTGTAGGAATTATGCAGTTATTGCCCATTTGCTCTCCAGCTGAGTGGCAGATATTTTGCCTTCTTTTAGAACCAAAGATTTCGAATTTTGAGTCATCACTCCATAAGACCTGGGACCAGTTGGCAGATGTCCAAAATTGATGTTTTTGTGCCCAGTCTAATCGTTTGAGTTTATTTTTTTGCTCAAGAGGGGCTTTTTGACCTCTACCTTACCATAAAGTTCAAAGTTCCCAAGGCACCTTTTCACAGTTGTGACACTTATCAGGGTTTTCCCGAGTCAGATTCATCTCCACAGCTATCTGAGGCAAAGGCGTCAATTGCTTTTACTGATCCTTGCAATATACCTATCATAGCTTAAAGTCTTTTTGCAGGGTCTTCCAGGACTCTTTGGATTTGATATTGCATTATTGTTGCATAAGTATGCAATCGACTGTTTGTTGAGCTAGGGTTAATTCTCTGACAATTCAGAGATTACTTTTACCACTTATGTGTAAATTAATTATTTTGCATTTAGTTGGAATAGAAATTTCTTTTCTTTTAATCATTTTGGTCGAATGTTTGTTAAAATTTATAAAGACTAAAAGTTTCTTTAAATATTGATTTAAAACAAAAAAAAATCTAGGAATTTTTTTTAAAATAATTAAAAATGGGTATTAATAAGCAGATTAGAATGTGATTAATGACACTCTAAAAAATAATGGGCAGCTTAAAATTGTTGGTGAAAAAAACTAATGAACCCTATTTTACCAAATTGGTGATTTTGACATGTTGTTTTCAAAAGCTAGTTTTTTCATTTCTAAATTTTTCTAGACATCTTAACTTAATTAATCAATTCGCTTTTACCCAAATAAGATTAATTTTTTTATGTAAAAATGCAGGGTGGGCAGTCATTTATGGCCAGTAGTGTATATATATGTATATGTAAATGATTTATCCTAAAGGTTACATTTAAATTTTATCCCATATAAATTTTCAAAATGCTTCTCAAGTTACATTAAAAAAATATTATTGAGTAATCACCCAATTAGACTATGACATGTTTTTTAAACAAGTTTTTTGGGGAAAAATATAGAAAACAAATCATCATAAATGGTTTGGTTTAAGAGCTTGACATTAATATTACTACACTACCTTATAACTAGTTCCATTAAATCACCTAATTTTGGCAAACTCAGATAAACTTTTGATCTAAAAATTCACTTCAGACATATTTTTTTTTATAAGTAGTTTTTATTACTAGGTTTTCTATCCAAGTTGTAAAAATATATATCTAAACAACCAGCCTTATTTCAACATAGAATAGGTTTATATTTTTAAATTTCCTAAAAAATTTTCTTAATTTTTCAATATAAATTTTTCTTTTTATATAAGTATAATATTATTATTAAAAAGTTTAATAAATTTTAATTTATCAATAGGGCTGTGATCCCAAACTTTGAATCAGAACCATTTGAATCCTGATATTTTACTGAATCAGAACCCCAGACCACAAGCCTTTTTTTTAATGTAGGGTTCAGGGTTCAAGAATTTTAAAAAATTTTTTTTATATTTTTATTTTTTTTATTAAAATTTCTTATTTTATTTTTTAAAATTATAAAAATTTGAACAGTATTAAAAAAATATATTAAATATCAAAAACAATTTTTTTTTATTTTCATTATTAAAAATATTTTTTTGTGGAATAACTTTTATTTTTATTGTATTCACTTTATTAAATTTAAAATTTTGAAATTTTTCTGGACACCAAACCCTGAACCCACCTGAGCCCAAAGCTGGTTCAGAGATTTTTCACTGAACCCAAATTCGATTGAAATCAAAACCCTGATAATAATATTTAAAATGCTTTTTTTTGTCTCTCTTGTTATAAAATAATATATTTATTTTATGAATCTTGTGATAAACAATGATTTGAAGAGATAATCAATTTTTTTCTTCTTTTTATTACCATTCCTTTATTTTAAAATTCTTTCATATTCTTGCTAAAGCTAATTTCTATATTTATTCCTAAATAAATCTGTAATAATCGAATTAATAATTGTTAATAATAGTATGGAAATCTTATCATTTTGTTTTGTCATTGAATTTTGGTTTGATTTAAATCTATATTCTAAACAATGTATAGGGTGAGTAGTGTAATCGCTATTAAGGGAATCTATATTCATTAAATAATAAACAGTAGTGCAATCACTATCAAGGGATTTGGCTATTAGATATAACATTTCTATACATATTGTAAAAGTACTATTAAATATGGCTACCTTATATAAAGTCTTATCCTTTCTTACAAAATACTATTAAAACAACTGAATATTGACTAAATCTTTTCAACTAAAATGTAATCACTATTCATATTCGAAGTTTTGAACGAACATTATATCGTGTTCATTGGATATGATAAAAATGTGTTATACGATTAGATTTTCAATTTATTTCAAAACAATATTGTAAAGTCGTTATGAGTTTCAAATTTTAATTCAATTTCAACAAGAAAATTTAAAACTTTTTTTATAAATAGCCCATGTTATTTTAGAAAAATGTCAGTATAATTTTTTTAAATGAATTTTCTAATTATTTGTTTGAGGTCTAGTAAGCTACCACCCATTAGTGGTGCTATATCTTATACCGGCAGATCAGTCTGCCAGATATTTTTTTCGATTCATCAGACTGAACTGAACCTTGATTTTAATATTTCTTTATGCCAAATTCAGACCTCGATTAATTTTAAATATTTTATTTAGTCAAATTTGAAAGCGAGATGCTGAGCTCTATTATGTACTAAAATAATCAATAGACTCAACATTCTCATTTTAAAATTTTATTGGAGGTTAATACAGTGAAAATATGATTTTATTAAAAATGCAAATGTAATATTAGAGTTAATGTTAAAGTCATTTTTTAAAAGTCATAATTAATTGAAAAATTTGATCATTTGAAAATTTATTTTTATATTATTTTTTGCTTCGTAATCTAAATTTGGCTATACATGAAATCACAAGACTGCGTCGTTATTCAACATTAAATACGATGTTTAAAATGTTTATATATTATTTAAGTTTATTATGATTATTTGAAAAACTTATACGGCTCGTTTTAATTTTCTAACATTTTTTTTATAATATATTTAGGCAGTATTTGAAAGGTTATTGATACCCAAGGAAGAGATTGATAATTTGATGTCTTTGGCACAGAAAAAATCTAACAAAACCGACAACTCTGGAAAAATTTTGCATTATTTATACGCGTGTTTTAATCGATTATATGACGAAATTCCAGACATCGAAAAAAGGGTTGGTCATAAATCCTCAATCAAATTTTTTTTGAGATAAATCTTTTCAACCAGAACCTGAAAATTAAAATTTTACCATGAACTTTTCAACTAATCATATTTTATATCAATTTTATTTTACAAATTTTTTGAAAAAAAATCTAGATTAAAAAAGGAAAAGTCTTAGGAAAAGGTTTCATCAACAAAAAGGGTCAATTAAACTTTGTAAAAAAAAATGAAATTAAAAAGGAAAAGTTTCAATCAAAAAAGGATAATTAAAATTCGAAAAAGGAAAGTAATATATATATTTTTATCATTTTAATAGTACACAGTTCTGAAAAAATTGAACGCATTCGCGTTCAACGTTTATTCTCAAAAAAGGGGTTCAAAACTTTATGAATAAATTAAAAAAAAAAATTAATTTAAATTAAATTAAATACACGGTTTTACTATGAATAAATTTTAAAAAGAATTAATTTAAAATAATTACACTGTTTCCCATCCAAAAAAGGAAAATTTCCGTTCGAAAAATAAAAAGTACCAAAGGTTTAAACAAAAGTCCGATCAAAAAAGAAAAGGTGTGAAACAAAAAATGAAAAAGTCTAATCAATAAAAGGAAAATACCAAAGAAAGCTCCCATCAAAAAAAAGGAAAAGTGTTAATCGAAAAAGGAAGAGGTCTAATTAAAAAAATTAAAGTGTCAATCAAAAAAGGAAAATTCCCATTCAAATAAATTTTGGGTTTTTTAAAATTTTCCTTCTTTTTTATATCTAACTTTTTGCCATCTCTTTAAGTCATTTTTAATCTTTATCTTTTCGAAATTTTTTCTTCCCATATAAAAAAAAATTATTCTATCATTTTTCTTCAATTCCTTATTTTTATGTCATTTTTAACCATTCTTTTTTAATTTTCCTTCTAATTTTATATCTTATTTTCTTATTTTTTTGCGAACACTTTAAATCATTTTTAATCTTGTTTTTCTTGTCTATTCTCAATTTATGTTTGATAATTCTTTTTTGTCTTTTTAAAAATAATTTATTTATTTCCTATCATTTTTTATTCAATTCTTTATTTTTATGTTTTCCTTGTTTTTCATCCTACATAAATATTTTTTGACTTTTTATGATTTCTTTCTCCTTTTTATTTTTAAAATTTCACTTAATTTTTATTTCTCTTTGGCAATCAAAATTTTTTTTATTAACAATTACAATATATATAGTAGAGACCTGCAGACCCAGCCATAAGCCCGCCCCTCCCAGGTACACGGGCCGGATCTTTTTAAAAATGTTTTTATTTTAAAACCAAATATTTAAAATATAAAAATAAATAGAATATATTTAAAAAAAATGCGTGTAGTGCCTGAAAATATATAACCCGAACAGGGTTGAAAAAAAATTTCTAAAAAAAAAATCTGGGTCGGGCCTTGTAAATAGTACTTCTGCAGGTGTCTGATATATAATAAATTAAAAAATTATATGTTAATCATTAATAATTTTTCCTCTTTCACATTTTGAAATTTGTATGCCCTCTCCTTTCTATCGATTCTTTAATTGTATGGTTATGATGAAATGGAGCAATCCATAACATAAATCATATTTATAATATACTTTCTTCAAAATGATTTGGTATTTCATTTGCAGTTGCTGTGGATAGCGCTGCTTGGGCCATCAAGAACCTCGAATCTGAAGATTTCCGCAACTGTGAAAGCGGCAATGATAGTATAATTAATTGTATTTATCTCTTGGACATTTTTAATAGCTCTTTTATTTATTTGGGAATGACCGTCTCATTGATATTGAAAACTCGCTATCATCGATAAAAATTAATTTTTATTTCATTAAGGCTGCTCCACAAACCATTCGCGTATTATTTGCTAATTTTGATTCGGCATTTTCTCTAATTGAATTGAATTTGTGATAACTTTTTAATTCTACCGAAATCCAAATAGTAACCTTTATACAGTATTTTTTGGTATCTCTACATCATATCTCTCTTAAATCATTTCACAATCATTCCATATCAAATCAATCACTTTATACAACGCGGCCATCTCAGATTTTGTTAATATATGGCATATAAGTTAATGAAGTATTGTAATTGACGAATCTAAAATATTAGCTCCCCTAACTCTACTAGAACCGGAGATATAAGGGACTCAAAGTGGCTCTGTTTGGTTATTTTTTGAAAAAAATGATTTTTTAAAGTTGGGATAACCTTAATACAGATGAACTATATATATATCTATTATGGATCATTTTATAGCCCTAAGTAAACATTTGCACGTATTTTAAATAAAATTAATTAATTATATATATTTTTTTAAAAAAAATAAATAAAAATTTAATGAATTTTAAAAAAAAATATTAGGAGAAAAAATTATGAAAAGTCAAAAATATTATGTAGGATGAAAAAAGGGGAAAAAATAAAGAATTGAAGAAAAATGAGAAAATAAATTATTTTTAAAAAGATAAAAAAGAGTGATCAAAAATGAGAAGAAAAAAAAATTCAGAAAAATAAAGATTAAATATGACTTTAAGAGATCGCAAAAAGTAAGATATATCTTAAGGAAAATTGTAAAAACAAAAAATTTAAGATAAATTGACCAGAATAATTAAAAAAAACTTTTTTTGAATGGGAATTTTTCTTTTTTGATTGGACCTTTTCCTTGGTTTGGGTGCGTCAGTATACAATTAAAAAATTAAATAGGCAAATAAATTATGGCGGTCAAAATGGTCCCTATAAGTTTGAAGCGAGGGAATTTAAGTTACAAATATGGGATATAAACATGACAACCAATTTTTTTTTATCCATTCCCGATATACTTAAGTTTCATAAATAGCTAGCTTTCTTATTAGATCTAGTGTCTTTTATTGCTATTTATATCAATTTAATTGATTCAAATTTTACTTAAAAATGATTAATGTTTTATTTTATGGAGTATGTGAAACTAATGAGATTTGATAAATAGGAATCTAAATCCTATTTTTTAGCTTATATTTTGATTAATAACATAATACCTCTTATATTTTAATATAAATTCTACTCCACTTTCCATTTTCATAACATTAAATCATTTATTGAAATTAAAACAAAGTAAAAACTTACAATGACTTTTGCAAATATATTAGATTTTATAATATATTAGATTTTATAATATATTATAATTATATATCAAATAATGAATTAATTCAAAAAATTACATTTTCATAGTAGAAATAGTATTAGTATACATATAAGAACAAAACATTGAAAGAAGATCAACTAAACCTTAAAGTGTTTTTTTGCCATTTTTCTAAAATTTTTAGAAGGAGCATGACAGGGATAATTAATAAATAATATACAAAAAGAAAATAATTATAGGGTTAAAAAAGGAATAATAAAGAATGTGAAGAAAAAACTTATAAAATAACTCAAAATTGTAGACAAATATTAAAAATGACGATCCTCCTTTTTTTAAATGAAAATTTTATTCTTTTGCTTTTCCTATGATACTTTTCCATTTTTGATCGAATTTTTTCCTTTTTTTGATTGGGAAATTATCAGATTTTTCAAAATTAAAAATTGTTTTCTATTAAATGGCTTAAAATTGAAAGATTCTGAATCACCACCAGTGAATTCCAGATGAACCTACCATGTGGGCTATGCCGATCCACAAATTTTTCACCGACCCGTTATTTTTTGATATTACTTAAAACCGATCCGACCGAACCTATGTTTATATTGATGATTATTTAAAATCTATCTTAGTAACAATGTTATATCTCAATATTTTCTATTTAATAAAAGCAAATAATTTTCACGAATGATAAAATGTATTTTTTTTTATTCTCTAAAAGATTATAATCTCATTTAAAATATTTGCAATGTTTATATGGTGAATGTAGTGTTAAAGAGCTCCATTTCTCCGATTTTTGAAAAGGGCTAAATTAAAATTTTAGCCAAAATATTATTACCCAAGCCTCGAAATTTCGCTAATACAAGTATAAACCTTTCTGCCATCTATGGTCAAAATCAATAAACTAAAATAATTTACCTTTGTCAAATCTTGAGTTAACTATTTTATAAATTAGGTAAATCGAGCCTTTTAATAACACCAGCTGAATGTGACTCGTTAGATATTTTAATCATTTTATTGTTTCAAATAATATAACAAAAAATACTTTAAAATTTACTATTTTTTTTTACATTAAAACAAATAAATTGTATTTTATTTTATTTAATTTCATTAAATTATTATGAAATTATTTATAAAATAATTTTTTTTATAAGTTTTATAAAATAACCAAAAACAATATAAAAAAAATAACGGCCCGTTCCAATATTTTTTGAAAACGCTAAATATCGACATAGCCCTACTTACTATATATATATTTATTAAAGGATAGACATTCTAGGGCGTCGATACGTTATTTCTGATCGGACCACATTTTGAAAACCCGATCCCATTATCACTATTTTTGTTATTTTATGATTATATATATTATTAATTATCATTTTTTATTTTACATGAATAATAATAATTCGATAAAAGGAATCAAAAATATTTGGAATTTAAAAAAAATAGAATAAAGAAAAAGTAACTAAAAATGTGATAATTTATTTTTGTAGTGCTGTTAAATCTCCTATCTTTTACCAACTCCATAACGGCTTTGGCATGTTTTTATCTTAAAATCGTCTCATCTTATGCTGAGACTTAACTTAGAGATTAAGTCAATGGGTGATTCAACGGGGATAACATCATATAGCCATTTGCTGAACCACGACCAAAATCTATAAAATTAATAAGATACATATTTATTAACGGAATCACGTGGTCTAGTTTGATCTACTCTATATTATCCGCCAAGGACGGAACCTTTAGTATAAAACATGGTTCATGCTAGATTCGAACCCAGAACTATCGAATTGTTGTGATGCACAAAACCGACTCGAGAACATCAAATTTTTTTTATAAACATGCTACAGCGCTATCCAATATTTTAATAAAACACATACGTTCAACGCTATACATTATTACCCTGATTTAACAACACTATTTTCAATAATATTTGCAACAAGAAATGGTTTTAAAAATATTCAACAAGTCACATTCAGTTATAAACATTGCTCATAAAAAAAATACACTTTATCATTTGTGATAATGCCTTAAATGTTTCCTTTTTATCCTAGTTTATAGTTAGTTATTTTTTTGAATAGAAAATACTTATTTTTTATAACATTGGTTCAAATATAGATGGTAACAATGTAAATATCTGTTATTGGATCGGATTAGTAAAATATTTTTGAATCGGCTTAGCCCTAGACGGGTAAAGCCGAAAAAATCATCCTTAATCCCCTCCCCCTATTTTTATTATCATTATAATGTTAATATTTAGAAAAATTTGACTCAATCATTGGCATCAAATATTAAAGATATTATAATTTGCAATTCGGCCACAGCAATGCAGACTGATCTCTATTCTCAGGATACCTCGCAACAATTCATTGATCTTTTACTACAAAATTATACAACATCAAGTATAAAAGTTATTTTTAACTATTTTTTATTTGTTATTTTTTTTACACACAATCATGCGTAAATTGTGAGTATCATATAATCCCGATACATAGATACATATAGTTGTAAAAAAATTTATATGTTAAAAATACAATAATATCACTTTCCCTATTTGATCAGATAATAGACATTTAAACGAATATTTGATGCTGACGCTTTCATACATAAATGAAAATTACGGATACCAAACATTATACGATTCGTGCAAACCAATTCTTGACAAATTGTACAATTTATTTAGTCAAACGCTCACCATTATAAATCCTTCCTTGTTTGATTACCTTGAAATTATAACCTTTTACACACAAACAGCATTATTGGCTCGAGTAAATAATAATAAAAACATTCAGATATATATTATCATCTTAATCTATAAAATATAAAGAGGTAATTTATCTTTTATGAGAGCGCTTAAAAATTCTTCATATATTATAAGTAGATACCACTTTTTGGAGGCCGATCCGATATTCCAGATATTTAAGTAATATCGGCCGATAACCGATCCGATATCATATCTAATTTTGTATTCTGTAAAGATACCGGTTTTAATTTTTAATATTCTTTTTATTAGTACAACATCTATAATTTTACTATACCATAACATATGTCATTTAAATATATTATAATGATCAGTTATAGTTTATATTCAATTCAATTGCAATTATTTATATAATAAGTAATAACATTAATCTATTTACATAATTAGTAATAAACAAATATATTGAAATTTGAAATTAATATATAAAATTAATTTATCGAAGATTTCTTTTTAGAAATACCAAAATTTCCAATTTATCAGAGATCGGTCTGCGGTGATGGGGACTGTTAATAACACTAGTATCACTAAAAACAGATTCTGAAGAGATTAATAAACACTTTTTTAAACAGAATGACTATATTGCAGAATGTTTATTAACTAATTATTACTATTAAAATAATTAAGCATAAAAATATATTCCGATTTTATTTATAAAAATAAATGGATTTTTAGATATAACTTTTTTTAAATTTTGTTAAAAGCGCCATTTTATATCGGATCGGAAAATTTTATAATATTTGCCGATAACCGATATTTTAAAATGGGCGAAATATCGGCCCGATCCGATCCGATATAAAATATCGGTACATCCCTAATTACAAGTTTACCAACAAAAATACGAATCAGATATGTGCATTATCCAATTTATACGAATAATAAAAACATTACTCGATAATTTGTCGAATATTCTATTTGATGCAAAATTTAAATTCTTCAAAAATATTTTAAAAAATAAAATAAATGAATTATTTTAAAAAAGTGATTTATAGATGTAGAAAAAGTAAAAAAATAAAAAGTTCCTAATTAAGCCTGTTAAATAATTTAGAATAATTTTAATTTTAAATATTAATGAATAATTTTGAATGTTTATGAATAATTACATTTGCGAATTATTTCTAATGATACGAATAATTTTAAATTATATGAATAATTTCGAATAATTCGATCGAAAAATGGTTAAAAATTATTCGATGGATAATATATTTTCCTTATTTGTATTCGATTCGAATAATTTTATTATTCATATACTAATCGAATTTAGTCAAATATATTCCCCATATCGATTTTGAATCGTGTTTTCTGAATTTTTCTTTCTCAAGTTTCATAAAAAACTCAGAATTAAACTTTCCTTTATGTAATAAAGTATCTAGGATTTGCAATTTATTTTTCTAATATATCGATATATTTGTACTTCTTTACCTTCCAAGAAACGCCATTCATTACTTGTTTCAATAACGAGTAACGCGTTTATTTTTTGGCGGTAGTGGTAACGCAAGACGTTACTTGTTACTTTAAATTTTCTTAAAAAATATCGAAAAAATATATTTATTTATAATAATATATTTTTTAAATATTATAAATAATTTAAGCCGAGTTTTAATTCAGATCAACCACCAAATTTCTTTATTTTAATTTTATTTATCACATCTTTGTTATTGAATTTTATACAGTCAAGATTGTTAATTTATTAATATTGAATCAATCAAGGTATGTTAATTTCTATTCTCAAAATGTATTTTATAGAATATATTTTAAAAATACTTATATCTTCAGATGAGCATGATTTAACCACCTTAGCCCCAGTATAAAACTTTATTTAAACCAATATGGAAAGTTAAGGGCATTAGGCCTACACTTTGTAAGTGTGGATTGTGTCCTAATTCAAATATTTCAGCCTTGGGAAAAGATCTTGACAAATAAACAAAAATTAGACTTGGTTTCTTTAAATAACCCACATATCAGATTAACGTATGATAAAAATTTTAAAAAATTTGACAATGATCTGAATGCATTTTTTAAATAATTTTAATAAATCTTCATAAATAAAATTTTTATTTATTATATGTAACACAACCATCTTATCTTCTGCACTAGTTGAACGTTTGCTTAACATAGCGAAAGCTATGTTGAGCATTAAGCGCTCTTATTTACCTGATGAAAATCTTGAAAAACAACTGTTAAAAATAAATATATTACAAGAAGATCTTATCCTACAATATATTATTTTTGTACAATTTTTTTTACTATCTATGAGAAAAATAAATAAATCAAGAAAATTTATTATAGGTAAGTATTTTTTGTAACGATTATACACGTTACTTTTTTCACAGGGTAACGAACGGCAACGTGTTTCTTATTTGAAGCAACGTTATAGAATAAAATAGCCTTTTTGTTGATATAAGGTCATTTGTTTGAGATATTCATGCTGATGACGTTTTAATGAATCTCTATCATGGAAATTTTAGGAATCATCATTTTTCACCACATATATTATTTTTACCTAAATGTTGTGTAACATTTCGAGGAATTTCTAAGGATTGAGAGATTGGAACAGTTGTCAAATAAAGAAAGGTTAGAACTATAATGATACTAAATCAGACTAATATCCTCGATTATATATACTTTTCTATAATATTCGTCAAATAAGAAAAGTTAGAACTAAAATGATACTAAATCTTTATTAAATAATAAGATAAAAATATAATCAAAATAAATTAATATAAATTAAAATTAAAAATTAAAGATTAAAAAAATTAAAATTAAAATTAAAAATTAAGTTCGTAAAATCATAATTTAATCATCATTTTTCGCATCATAATTTCTCCTTATATATCCTTTTTCTTTAATCAACATTTGCATAGTCTCAATTTGTACCGAGATTTGATTCTTGTAGATTTGAATATCTTTGGGCTTCGTAATTTTGTTTAAAAGTAATTTGCCTGTCTGGCGTTTTTCTTAATCTAGTAAATTTGCATGTTACCACAATTACAACACATTTCCACTTAAATTAGTCCCACCATTCTGCGAATGATCTCCCTTCTTCCGATTTTGACTTTACTGATCTAGTTTCTCCACCAAATCTATTCGTCTTAATCTTTAATGTCTTCTAGTTTCTAACGACGGCGGTTTATTGTCTAATATTCTTCACTTCTAAGGACTGTTTGTATCCGATTACACTCTGAAATTCTTGATTCCTTCTGTTTCTTGTCAACCCCTTGTAAACGATTATCTCTTGATCTCTATAGGCCATTGACGAATCTGTTACCATGATTCCCGATACATTCTTCTAGCTCTTTTAATTATATTTCGTTTTAATCCCAAATTATCCTAGTCTTTGCTTGTTTCTAACGGTTTCTAGTAACTAATGACGGTAAACGACTGCCGATAATTTGTCTGCGAGTAACGATGGTTCCACGACTTCTTGTTTCTAAGATCATCGATTTTTTATCCTATACTAAAGTTTTGATAAGTAACGGGCGATAATTTGTCAACGATTAACGATAGCATCCTGGTCTTGACTACTTGTTCTACCTAGTCGCTTGTCAAGATATCCACGTTGTCTTAAGATCTCTTATACGATAATGATTTCTTGTATCTTTTGATCCAAAATAAAAAATCCGATCTCTAATTGAGCTCGATTGCGGCATAAATTTTCTAATGACGAAAAGCCGTTTCTCTTTATGAAGATTTTGGTTATTCAACAACCTGATATTTTGCTAAATATATCAACTTAAATAACAGTTAACCGTATATCTTTAATAAAAATTTATAACGAATTTCTTTTAGCTACATCGATCACTTGTACGTATAACGATCTCTTGTGACGAATTCCTTTTAATTAAACGACTAATTCTATTCTTTTTCGAATTACGACCATTGATATTGACACCATGTTTCATTGACCTCATTCTTTGTCTTTGTGTCGATAGTCATTTCATTACATCCCCTTCCCCCTTTATTTAGAATCTCTTTTCAGAGTTAATTTTAATTATTGTAATGGCCAGGTCTCCCCCGCTCTCCAACACCAATGTAACATTTCGAAGAATTTAGAAAGATTGGGAGATTAGAACCGTTGTCAAATAAAGAAAGGTTAGAATTAAATGATACTAAATCAGACTAATATCCTCGATTATATATACTTTTCTATAATATTCGTCAAATAAAGAAAAGTTAGAACTAAAATGATACTAAATCTTTATTAAATAATAAGATAAAAACATAATCAAAATAAATTAATATAAATTAAAGATTAAAAAAATTAAAATTAAAAATTAAGTTCGTAATCATAATTTAATCATCATTTTTCGCATCATAATTTCTCCTTTTATATCCTTTTTCTTTAATCAACATTTGCATAGTCTCAATTTGTACCGAGATTTAATTCTTGTAGATTTGAATATCTTTTGGCTTCATAATTTTGTTTAAAAGTAATTTGCCTGTCTGGCGTTTTTCTTAATCTAGTAAATTTGCATGTTACCACAATTACAACATGTTGCATTGTTTTTTTGCCCATGTCCTTATTTTCTATATCGTTGCTTGAATAATATGGAAGATCCATATTTATTAGTTATCTATAAATCAATAATTTAGATAAAGATGACAATGGTGTTTGATTTTAAAAAAACTCATTTCTAAGGAAAACAATAGTTTTTGATATAAAATTAATTTATTCCCAACTTCGTATCTTCCCTACATATAGCAAGAAAGATAATGACCAACTATTATTTTTCTAGACAGTTTTATATGTAATTAATATCCCCCCCCCAATATACCAGTACCTGGGTTGGGGGCTTAAAATGATATGATTTATAAATCATTGACCATAACAATTACAAGCCCGACCTTAGATTTTTTTAAAGGACAGGAACCCAATATAATAAATTTAAATAAACCCATTGAAAAATCACATGACGTTTCACCTAAACAATCATTCTCATCTCATATTTTCAATTAATTTGAAACCATTTTAAAAATACAGCCCAAAATATTTATCATCAATAATACCCCTATCCCCCCCCCCTCCAGCCCAGACTATAAAATAACCAATAAAAAAATCCAGGTCGGGCTAGAGAATGGAATTCGACTGGGTAAAATAGAAAAATTGATATTTTTATTACATTGGTTTAAAGATAGATGGTAAATATAAATATCGGGATCGTATCTGTTTTTTTAAATAATATCGGATTGGATCGGTGAAAAATGTGTAGATCAGCACAGCTCTATTTTGAAGTATAAATAAATCATTTTGATTATATTATATTTTCTAAATAAATTAGAGACCTGCAGAGATCAAAATTCCTAACCGGACATGAAAAAATATTTATTTTCAAACCCCAGGCTCGAGATTTAAAATTTTTTTGGGCCGACTAGGTTTTTTATTTTATAATTTTTTGGCCAGACTCGGAATTCTTAAAATTCCGTTATTTTGGCTGAATTTTGAAAATATGAGCAGTGCATGAACATTAAACATTCCATTATATGATTCCAAACTGATTAATTGATATAATTTAAATTTATTTTTTAAAATCGGAACACCTTAGATTTTTAAGCCCGGCCGGAATATAATCATACCATGTTTTAGCCCATTTTGAACCGGGACAGCAGGTTTCCGATAAATTATTAAATAAATTTCTAAAGCTGTTATATTTTTAACCTCCCCCACTAGATTTATAAATACGATTGGCATGTTTTTTTACTGATATTCATTCGATTTAAACAAACTTGTTAATTGTCTTTATTGTTAAATATCGCCTATATTAGAAGAAGGAAAAATTGGGATCGTGAAATAATATTGATTCATTTTAAAAATTATAGATTTTTTTGGCGCATTCGACACCGTTATTTCTTATTAAATTAAACGGGGACGCTTATAACAAGGAAAAAAGGGAGGTAGAAATCGATAACGATCAAATCAATGTACCCAGCAATAGTGCTCAAAACAACACCAACATAAGCGCCTTTCGACAAGCCTTTGATAGGGGTTTGAGAAACATATATCCTCTCAATAGCGCCGCTCCTACTCCAACTAATTCATATGGTATTGGAATGAACCATCTCGAAATTGGCAAGGGTAAAATGTTCGAGAATACTCTGTTAGGCCGTATCATTGGAATATCATGCATACCTATAGGACCTAAAAGTAATGGATCCCTTTTTTTTAACAATGTTTCCCAGTTGTCACGCCAGGAACACAAAAGCATGGAACAAAACATATGGAAGGTTTATATTTTATTGGATCTTATTATTGATAAGATTTTCTATTAACAATAATTATTCTCGTATTTATTTATGATAAATTTATTGGCAATGTTTAGTCGATATGTTTTGAGTAGAATAAACAAGGGATATATTGTATACTATATATTGAATTGATTTTTATTATAAATCAAATTTTTTTTTAATTGTAAAGCCTCTATCATCGTTGGTAGACAAAATATATTCGTTATTTTATTCGCTCCTTAAAATGGGCTCCGAAGTTAAACACGAAACCTTAAGATGGATAGGATACTGTTTGCACTGCAATGCTGGACGCTCTAAAATTTGGTCTTCACAAGTCCCCGAAATATTTGCTTCTACCTATGCTTCCGATCCCTTCATGCTGAACCTTGGATCCATTCTTATCAAGTTTATATATAACATAATTTAATTCTAAAAATATAAGTAGGAAAATAAAAAAATTTATTTGAACAGGTTAGTCATAATACGAGATAGGCATATTCAAATACGAATCGAATAATGCCATATTCAATTTCATAACGAATCCAATTATTTACTATTCGTATTCGTACTAATAATAAAATTTACTAATTGTATTCGATTTGAATAATTCATATTCATAAATATTATATATATTCATACGAAAGTGACAGAATTTTTAATGTTACACATGTTAATTATAAAATTCAAATTTATAGAGTGAGCTGTTAGCGGGTAGAGCCAGGAATTTTCTTTAAGGGGGAGGGGATATTTTTCTTTGGAACATTAAAAATTTAAAATTATTAAAACTAGTAATATTTTATGAAAATTGTGAACATAAATAATAAAATATTGGAAAATACAAAATATTTAAGAGCGAATATATGCTGTTAAAAAATATTATAGCCATTTAAACCGGTATGTAAATCATAGTAATATAGAATTAAACATATAATGATTTAAAAAGTTAATCAAAATATCGTTCATTAATGTAAAATTAATATTTTTTGCGCATCATTTTATTTGTTAATTTTTTATATATTTGGAAAACTTCAAAATATTTGGAAAACTTCAAAATATATTTGGAAAACTTCAAAATATATTTGGAAAACTTCAAAATATATTTGGAAAACTTCAAAATATATTTGGAAAACTTCAAAATTTGTGTTTCTTAAAGAGTTATATACTGAAATTAATTTTTATACCAAGATTTAAATTCTGAAATTAATTTGCTTTCAGATACATTTATATCCTCTGAATAAAATTGAGCTAAATATATAATTTTTTTTCAAACAATATATCATCATTCAATGATGTAAAAAATGTATATAAAAGTGGAATGAAAACATTTATATCATAGTAATTCACAATTGTGTCCACTTTAATATTGGGACTATTTTTTGTCTGGAGCAAGTCGAGGCCTGCGAATCTCAAAAATCTTCTCTGTTGATACTCTCTCTTATTTTTATAAGCTGTAATATAACAATATCGCAATTCTCATAGCCGTAGCTAAATCCATTTGCAAAAAATGTTGTGTAATTAAATAATTTATTTATATATTCCAGTGTAAATCGGCTGTCGTATTGAATCTATATCAGCTTCATATAAAATATTTGGTTCAGGCCATTCTCTCTAAAGGCACTCAGAATAGGCTCTGATAGATCCAAAATATTGTAACAGCTTGATTCCTAGGGCGCCATCTTGTCGGGCATGCTTTTTACAGTTTATTCTTGTAGCACAAGTCTCAGAAATTATTCTATTCGGCAAATTCTCTCTTTGGATATCAGAATATATCTAGTGGATATAATTGGAATGAAGAATACCAAAGGAGGGAACAAAATCCTAGGCAAAATAGTTTTATTAAATGCAAGTAGCATTGCACTCTCAGGTTAGGCATAAAATATCTATATTTTTACATCGAGATTTTGGAAGATATCAAGATTATTCGCCTAATTAAAATATTGAAAAACAAATAAAATATTATTTTGTAAATTTTATTGTATTATTTTGATACTAACTTAATTATGATGATAAATTATTTTTATTATAAAAATAAATACCTTGAAAGTATAGTAAAACGGTATCTTCGGAAGAATATATTTTATTAACTTTATTAATTTATACAATAATTTCAAATTTACAAAACGGAAATTACTATTACAATTTATAATATCTTTATTTAAAAATGATCTTTATTTAAAAATGAATTTTTCAAAACTTTTTTAAAAAATTTTGCAAAAAATTTTATAAAATATAAAAGGTCTAATATCTCGAAAAAAAATATATATTTCATCATTTTTTACTTCAAATATAATAGTAATAATTCCCCAATCAAATGTATGCAATATCTCTGATTGACGTCTAACCAAAATAAATTGTAAATACATATATTATGCTAGGACATGTCACCCCTTTATTGGCCAGTGACATTCCTTAAAAAAAAATTACTATACTACAAAAAATTTTTTATTCAACATATTCTATCACTTAACATCAGGGCTACATCAATATTCGAACAGTTATGGAACAACACCGGGCGGCTAGTACGGTGTGCCCATTAACGCCCATAATAGCGGAGTCCAAACCGCTGACAATAACGGAGCCAAGACCGCTGACAACAACAGATTCGGATGAAAGTCTGTGGGAAGATTTGCTATTGATGTAGCCCTGATGTCAAGTGATAGAATATGCTGAATAAAAAATTTTTTTTGTAGTATAGTAATTTTTTTTTAAAGGAATGTCACTGGCACATAAAGGGGTGAGTATATTATATGTATTTACAATTTATGTTGGTAGACGTCAATCAGAGGCATTGCATACATCTGGTTGGGGAATTATTATTATTATATTTGAAGTAAAAAATAATGATATAATATATATTTTTTTTCGAGATATTAGATCTTTTTTAATTTATAAAATTTTTTGCAAAAGTTTTGGAAAATTTATTTTTAAATAAAGATATAAATTGTAATAGTAATTTGCCGTTTTGTAAATTTGAAATTATTATATAAATTAATAAAGTTGATAAAATATATTCTTCCGAGGATACCGTTTTACTATACTTTCAATAAATTTTATAAGGCCTTATTTTTCATTAGAACGAGAGTTCAAAGCCCTGTTAAAGGCTATCACAAATGGTGTTCTTTTGATTTATTTAGTTAACCTTGTTGTATATATATTTTAAATCAAATGAATATGGGAAATTATTGGCCTGATCTGCCTGCATTGCCTGGTCCTATATCCATTTCTAGTGTTGATCAGGTCGCTAAATCCTATAACTTTTTTATATTTAAAATCTAAAGCCAATATAAACCTTAATAACCTCTGAACCAATTGAGATCACAACATAAAAATTTTAATGAGTTTTATGCAAAATTTTGGAAAATTAAAAAAATATATAAACTCTTAATTCCTGAGTTGAAAATGACTTAATAATATATTGTATTTTTAGGTTATGCAAACCATTTTCATACCCATTCTCAAATCGGATCTTAAAAATAGAAATCGACTACACTCAAACGCATTCTAGAAATGATTTAGATGCTAAGTCTCGTGGTCTTCATATGTTAGGTGCTACTCATTACAAATTAATAAATAATTCGTTTTCTAAAACTAGATTTTATTTAATTTTAAATATGATAAAATATATTTATAAAATTTACTATAATAGATTTGGATACGGAAACGTTCTTAGTACCAACCAAACTTCCAGAAACGAGTTTGATAAGAACGGACGATAAACTAAACACGAAAGAATTTAATTTTGTAACGGAATGCTTATTCATGACGCAAAAATGTATGGACATAGGTTTTAGGGTTATTTTATCAAAATTTCTTAAATTGAACCAAGAGCTAGGTCGCATGCAAGTTTACTATGAATCCCTCTTATCTTCTGCATCTTTAGCTGATGAATCCGCTCCGCCTATCAGAAATATCAAAGATGCAATGGAAAAAGGTTTTTTTTTAAATCTGTAGATCATTCCAATCTTAAAAGTTCTTATCGAGAGATTAATTATTTTTTTGTACATGTCAAATAATATCATTGTAATTTCTTAAAATTATTAAAAATCAAGGTCTATCCACTTTTCTAAGCACGAAAGCAGCTTTGTTAGAGCCTCATTTTTTGGAAGGTTTTTTTAATCTAAACGTAGCTATAAGTCAATACCTTTGTCACAATATCCATCTTATAATTAGCAAAACGCTGGATAATAATAAGGAATCGGCAGATATGCATGCTTATTTTAGCGCGCCTTTGGAAGACGAACTCGCCGATGAGGACATAAAATCAAGATTGGAACATTTTATGAGTTGCGTACCGGAATTCTTTTTGGAGAATATGTTGGATCTCATGTCATTGTTGTCTCATTTTAGCGACGAATCACTTGAAGTTTATTCTATATACTCTACTATATTAATTACTAATATCACTTTTGATTGTTTAATAAATACTAAAATTTAAAAATATATTTTAATATTTTATATGATAATTTCTATATTCTTCAAAATTTTGGAAAAAAATAATTTTTAATCGAAAAAAGATTATGTTCTCTCTGCGACAAAGTTTTGGCTCATAAAGTCGGAATTATTACATGGCATATTTAATAATTTAGCAGATTCTTAATATTATTTGGAATTTAATTAAGCTATAGTTGTAGATATGTTATATCTGTTTTTATGTAAAATAAAAATAAAGTTTTTTGGAGTTAAATCATTGGAACCTATAATGATTTTAATAATGACTTTAATGGGATGCCCTGAGAGAGTCAAGAATCCTCACTTGAGAGCAAAAATGGCTGAAACTTTGGAGGCATTAGTACCTCTCCAAGCTCGAAAATCAACTGACGATGATAGAGAAGGATTAGAGGCTTTTGATCAAGGATATTCTTCTGGGTTCTACGCAATATTTTAATAATTACATTTATTAATTGTTCTTAAATTATAAATTTTTTATCTTACTAATAGAGTAGTCATGATTTCTCATTTGAATAATTAGATGTCTCGGTTATCTAATTAGAATACCCTTTTATGTGGCAATTATTGGATTAGATGCGGAATCTATTTTAAAAATAATAAATATATATTTAAAAAAACTTAAAAGGAGCTGTAGTAATCCAATTTATTATCTTATTATAATCAGAGATATACCAATATCTCTTTTTTGTACTTTCGGTACTGATACCCAAAAATTATTTTATTCCTATATGTTGTGTTTTTTGCAAAAAAGTAAAGATATAATCCAATAATTTTATCATTTTTTATTTATTCATCATTTTTATTTATAAAAGTAAAAATAAAAATAAATGGGGGAAAAAATTAACATTTACTTTCATTCCTATATTGCTTTACTAATTTGTAGACCTCTGGCTGTTGATCTTTTTTAAACATTTCACGCAACCTCCAACTTTAGGCGGCATGACCCTTAGTTATAAATATCTCCAAATTGAACACAAAAACTTGTATAAAAATATTTATAATATATAAAAACTTATACTTATATTCTATTCGACGCTCGTAAATGAATGATCTGCAATATAGGTTAGGCTATAAAATTAGTATTAGTACCATACATAGCAATAAATCAGTATTGTGGAATTTTTTTGGCAGGATCAACTTTCAAATAATAATTAGAAAATCATAAAAAAAGATTCTTATTTCTGTAATATGTGCCTGTGAGAAACATGATAATAAAAAGGAAAAAAATATTTAAGGAGCAAGTTTCATTAATATTTATTAACATATTATGTTATGATTTACTTTCAATAGTTTTTTATTCATACATTTTGGTTAATAGTACCAATTTAGTTATATATGAAACTTTTTGAAAATATGAAAAGGATATCTGGTGTCGCTGGATAAACGAACGAATTTGCTAGCCCTATTTTCATATCATCTTTATTTACATCCACTTCTTGCATAAATCCTAACCACCAATCGTTTTCGGTCTTTGTAAATTTGTCCTGGCAACTAACCTTTTTGTTGTGCCGACTAAGTCATCGCAGACACTTTTATCATGTGTCATAGAAAAAAATGATTCTGCTTTAACGCCAAATCGATTTCATGGTAGCAAACATTGAGAAGTTTTTTCTATTTTTATATTGCGCTGCTAAACCATTAGAAGATAGTATTTTTTTTCTGATGTGTCGATTATTTTTTTAAAATGAATCAAATGCGATTGGAAAGAATTTTACTTATAGTTCCAAAAATAAGAAGTAAATTAGGTAAAAACAAAAATATTTTTAGGATCACGGTCGGGATCGATCTTTTTTTAGAAGACCATGATCCGGTTCGAGTGCATCGGTTCGGTTCAGACCAAAAACCGGACAGTGACCTTCACTATTAGATACCAAGGCATCAAAAACATAAAAAACTTCTTTGTTATTAATAAGTGCTGTAAACATTACTTCAAAAGAAACGCGTTACTCATTACTTCAAAAAAGGAATTTGTTACTGTTACTCGTTGCGTTATGAAAAAAGGATCGCGCGTTACTGGCTATTCAGAAAGTAACGCGTTACTTGTTACTTGAAAAATTGAATTATAAATAAAAAATTTCTTTAAATAAAATTATACAAAAATAATAAGATAAGATATTTTTATAATAATTTTTTATTTATTTTTAATAGCAATTGATTTTCAAAATTTTGATCAGATAAACAAGAGTGCTCAACACCTAGGTAAAGTTACAAGCGACACCTAATATTTTATTTTAGCATTCATCTCTTTGGAACCTTTGCCATTGATGTCTCAGGAACTATTAGTACTATAAAATTTGGGTTTCGATGCCTTCTAACTATGTTATCTCACTATGTAAAATTTTATCAAAATTAACAAGGTCAGACCGAAAAGTTAAAGGGTTGGTATGGAATTACCCCTTTGTTAATTAGAAATATAATGTGGAGCAAACCTCAGATTTAATAACAAGAACAACATTCAAGAGTACCCTTGATTATGTATACTCAGAATTAAAATCGCATATTCACAAAAAGATTGATTAAATCTTTAAATAATTTACCGTCGGAGGAATTATATTTACTTTCCAACTCATCTACCAGCACCCCGAGTGAACGTATTTTCTCTGTTGCTTTTGTTATTGAATTCAAAAAGATTTTCATTATCTTCAGATAACTTGGATAAAATTATATTTATGCATCTAATATAAATTTATAAATTTAATTTGTATATCTAAATTTATTTTAGTTTAAAATGTATTTATGTATCTATTATATAGATTATGTTTAAAAACAATAATGAATTTTATTTGTTATTCTTTTGTATATATATACTTTTATATAATTATCAAATTTAACTTCTAATAGTATGCAATTTGATTAACCTCGATACTATAATATTAAATGTAGGAAAGTTATAATTATTACAAATATAATATTCATATTATAACCTTTTAAAATATATAAGATATTAAAATATAACAGTATCCATTATAGATTCCCTTTTTATTAATAATCTGCAATTTTTCATTCATTTTGAAACACATTGCTAGTTGATCATTCAGTTCTTTATCTTTAGTTAAAGATTACACTGTTTTCATGTATGTTTTATTGGTGTGCCGAAATTTTTATTTATGCACCCCAATTATAGAAATAATATATCTGCACGTCGGTCTACTAATTTATAATTTTTTTTTATCATTTCATAGCTATAGGCCATAAAAATTTACGAGGGGTAATTATCAATTTAGATAATCGGTTATAATTGCCAACGGATACTGTGACATGAATGCCCGTTCATTTCTGATTATAATATACAGCATGACGCTATTAAAAACATAGTTGTCGCTCTTAAAACACAATAAAATAATTATCGATCATAGTTGCTTGACATAAGTAGAGGTTGGCATGATCCGAACCCACCCATGGAAATTTTCTATTAAGTTTTTAGCCCAACCCGGCCTAATAATTATTTTTACCCGGACATAAAATATATTTTATACAAGTTGTTCTACTTGACCCTATTTTTTATGAAGGAAAACGAAATAAATTTTAAAAACATTTTGAACATTTCGGCCAGGCCGATGTAAGGATTTATAATTTGCCCAGCCTAGCCCGAAATTTTTTTCCCGACCCTCGGGCGGTTCGCATCGACTTTTAATATATACCATCGAAACAATAAGTTAATAAATAGATGGAAGATACCAAGAATCTTTATATTAATTAAAAATATTCCTTATCTATAACAGCACTAGAGAGATTGAAATTAAGATGTTTATCAAGTTGAATGAAATCAATTATAAACTAGATTATATGATCTTTTTTAGAGCTACAAAGGCGTTGCCAATATGAGTGAAAACGATAATGAAATTCGAACCTTGGTTAAAATAGACCATAGTAAGGCCTCTTTTGTACTGCCTTGCCATCGGAGTAAATCAATTATGACAATTCATTAAATAACTAAAAAATGTCTTACGTTTCAATCCTCTGTGACACAATTATATCTCTGATTCTATCTTTCAAATAATACCTTGTGAATCGTAGTTGCATGCCGCATATGTAGCCAAGAACTAAATATTTAAATGGTTTTATTAATTCCCGGTGTTCGATTCGTCTGTGAGACTCGCATAAATTTTTTTTTATTCCTTTTTATTTTTATCTGTTTTGGGCAACTATTTTTCACAATAGTACAAGTGTTTTCACAATATATTGTAATTAATTACTATATAACTTTTTATTAAAATCTACGATAAAGGCAATGTAATATCTATAATTTTAATTTATGTTATATATTTTATCTATTAAAAGCCGTAATTGGAGTTTGGGTGGAGGAGGAATTAACGCTACCTCATCGTGTAGAAGTCAACTCTTTACGATTGGTAAAGTCAATAATATCGCCTTTCAAATAGTAAATTAGTTTTTATTGTTTTATAAAAAATGAAATTATGTCATTTTTAAATTATAAATTTCACCACTATATGTTAAAATTTTGCTTCGTTAAAAATTTTCATAATTAGAGAACATTATTAGCTCACATAGAATCAAAATTTTCATGCGAGTCCTAAAACCTATATTTTTCCCAAATATTTTATTATTAAAATTGAAATAAATTTAAAAATAATAATGTTAAAAAATTTGATGTTATTTTTATAGCTCTATCTAAAAGAGAAATATTAAATGGGAATTTTTTTATCAAAGTTGCACAATTTCCACGTTGTTTAAATTTATTTATTTTATTTAGTTATATTATAGATATATAATTAAAATCAAACATTAAGAAGAGGATTTTTTGGTTATGGGGATTTTTTTTTAAATAGAGCTCTACAAAATGACACGAAATTTATAAATTTATCATAATTGTAAAAAATTGTATTTTCAAAATAACAGAGGGGGAGGGCAGGAATTTAGCTGAGCAATAATAATTCATAGATCTATTTATTATTATGATCAGAGTTAGGTTACTAGTTAGTAGCATTTTTTTACGAACAATTGTAAAAATTAAAATAATATTTTTAATGATATCAGTTTTAGTTATGATTTGATAGGCAAAAAGTGTTTTAACATGTTAATTAATAGTCGAAATGCAAATCTATTTGACATTAATAATATTAAACAAAATTTTCACCAAAGCTTAAGATTTAATTGATTTTAAATAATTAATAGCCTTAGTTTAGATTTTGAATTTTGGTGAAATTTTTTTAATCTCTTGAGTCACATCATTATTTATAATATTAATTTTATTAGATATATTTTGAGCCTCATTTTTTAAACAATAAATCAGGGATATGGAACGGAACTTGGGTAAAATTATGGACGCTACGAAACATAAACGGTGATTCCGGGAACTATTTCGGAAAATAATGAGAATCCTAATTTAATGAATAATATTTGCATTCATAAATATTCGTTCTTCTTTCTTTATTTCTACATTGCTCCTTCACATTTACTCATCAATTTTAAGATTATAAAAACATTATTTACCAGAAGATATTTATATACCAGAAACCCTAAAGGTCATCAGATCTTTTTAAACAGGACACAGCTGGAGGCCTAAATGACCTCAGGCCTGTCCATCTCCAAGGTTTACGAATATACCCTCAAATCACACACTCCAGACTAATATAAATTATTAGCTCTAACCTTCTTGCTGTTCGTTTAATAACATTCGAAAAAAGATGGCGGAATCCCGCCAATTGCTATTGGTAATGTATTAAGAAGAATTGTATCCAAAATTATAGTAAGCTAATTAAAGATGACTTATCGAATTCCCTTCTACCATTTAAATGAGGAGCACGTCAACCTATGCCTGCATTGCATTAGCGCACCCTAAAACAAACGAATTCTAATAAATTGGATTTAAATAACGTTTTTAATTCTTTAAAAAGGAGCTCTTTCCTTCCCAAATTATCTAACTTTTCCATATTCTAAATACATTTATCACTGGCTAACCTTCAATCATAAAATCCAACAAGGAGACCCCCCCCCCAGCTCTGTCTTATTCTGCTAAGGCATTGAGAAATACTTTCTTCCTAGTTTAAATTCATAGTATTTAGATGCATCTTACTGGAAATTTTATTCTTTTTAGACTTAACATTCATTGCAGGTGAACCCCTTAATGTGAGGACCATCACAGCACAGAACCTATTCTTCACCCTTTCTTAAATGATCTTCATATAAACCTAAATAAACTAAAGCCTTATTGGACCTTATACCAAACCATCGTAGTAAACTACAATTTTTTAGTATTTATTTTAAAGTTGTTTAGTATTTTATACAAATATTTCTTTTTATCATAAGTTAGTTAACATAACTAATATAAAATTTTTTTACTAAATTAACAAATAAAATATAAAAAATGAGAACCATTAATGCAGTTTTTTGAACATTTTTTTATTATTGAGCAAATCTATATGAAAATAATTTTAAAATGCCGATTAATTTTTACCTAATTTAATTTATTTTATTAATTATAAAAGTATTTTATGTTAAAAATACCAAGTCATATATGAATAATATAATAAATAATACAAATGTCTAATTTTAAAAATAAAATTCTGTATTTGACATTTGTTTTCATAGTAGAGGAGACCGGGGATGGTTATCCCGAGGCATTTCCTTATCTAATAATTTATATACCTTGACATTTGAAATTTAAACCGTAAATGTATTATGACATCAATAGTTTTAAATGCCTTTAAAGTTTTAAATGAAATTTATAAATTTTAACACGTCAAAAGTAATTTAATCTTTTACTAATAATTTTTTTTTTTTAAATTACTTAGATTAATTATCAATTCTAAATGATAAAGTAATCTCAATTTTATTATGTATAAAATTATTCACAATATTTATGGTAATTTAATATCTTGAAATTAAAACATGGTTAAATGTGAAGACTTGGGGCAGGTTCTGGCGAGGGGTGTATTTTTAATTAAAAAATCTAGTTTATAAAAACAGAATCCACGAGTTTGTCTAAGGTCACATATGACGATATGAAGAAGGTTGACTTGTTTTTATAAATTATATGACACTTATATATAACTTACCTTAAGTTCTTTCGAGTGATATATATAATGTGGATGAACCGGGTACATTTAAGTTTTTCATTTATTTATTTAAGATTAACATTTTTATATAAAAAAATTTTAATGCAAACACGTACCATTAATTAAGACTTTTTTCTTAAATATTAATTTATAAAATATATATAAAGAATAAAATTACATTTGAATATTATTGCAAATATGTCTCGTCTTTTTTTTACAGCACAATTTTGTATGGATAATATAATCGGTCACCCCTATATTGCTAAATATGAACTAAAAAAGAAAAACAATCACAAAAACTAAAGTAATTAATATAAAAAATAATTATAAAATAAAAAATTAAATAAATTTTAGTAAGGCAAACTTAAATATTACGATCCAGACCATCCGTCAATCGCGTTGACCTTTGTTACTTACATCACATGAATCCATTTTTTTTTGGAATTCATCTTAAATTTAAATTTGATGATTGCCAATACCTCTATGCCTCCTTCATTCAAATCGGGAGATATCTTGATCCGCTCCCCATTAATACTCTATTAGTAGCATTTATTCCTCAAGACTAGTCTTGTTATCTAACCTTACTCGCATTACGAATAAAATAGGAAATGATTTATCTTCAGCCCTCGAGATGATAATAACTTCCTAAAAATAAAAGAAACCGGGTCAAGCTTGAAAATTTCCAATTCGAACTAGACCTATCTAACTTTTAATGTAATTTCGCTAATTAACTTAATTTTTTTTTAAATTTATAATTCAGGAATCCCCAAAGCAAAATATTGACTATAGGAATTTTATGATTCCAGTGTTGATACATGTCTTTGTAAGCATTGAAGAAACCGGTCACAACGTTGCGTTTGAACAAAAATTTTCGTATCGAAGACCAATGTACGTTGTTTTGAGATATCTTTGGAAATTTACGGAACACAGAAATGTCGTTAAAGTGAATCACATCGTATTTAATTTAATAATTTTGTATTGTTCTATATTTTAATAATTTTGTGTTATTCTATATTTTAATAAAAAATATAAAGTTTATGGCAGATCAAGCTGAAAAAAATATTGAAGCCATAAATCCCCCATTATTTCTTCGATTTATCAACTTATTAATTAACGATGCTATATTTTTATTGGACGAAGGTCTATCGGTAATAATTATATATATAATATAATGCTTTATACATTAAATAAACTCCTTATAAGATATTAAAATTTTATCATAATATAAAATTAAAAATACTAATGATAATAATCATTCATTTATTCTAAATTTATTATCAACTGTCTTCTTAAATAAGGAAAATGATTTTTTAAAAATAAGAATACAAATATAGATCGATTATATTAGGTATAAAATTAGTAATACATGTTAAATTGGCTAAACCGGTCTAGGAAATTAAAACAAATCTAGTTGTGGATAGAATAAAATAATTTCATTATATTGATAGAAGAGGGGGGAATTATTTAGGAAGACTAGAAGAGCCAGTCTCGGAATTAAGGCACTCCTTATAAATTGTCCTCATTATCTCAACTAGGATACATTTAATTATAAGCCCCGTACTTAGTTTCATAGGATATACATACTGCGGATCGCAAAAAATAAAAGGCATGATCTTTGTAATTAATTTATACAACTATAATAATTCAATTAATATTTAAAAAAATTAATGTGTTTACAGTATGACAAATAAATTGTAAAAATAATTGAATTCACATCATAATTGCAGAAAATTAATTTTTTTTTATAACTTATAAAGCAAGTTATTAATTAATGTTTCTTTACAATTTTAAATTTACTAGATTTAAAATATAAAACAAAATTATCTTGTTTTGTTGGCCTCTGATTTTTTTAAAAAATCTGATTCCTTTACATTGTAAAACAATTCAAAAATAAAGGCGAATTTTTTGAATTAAATTCTCTGAATCCTTTCCCCCAAGGCACCCTGTAAAATTTTAATCCTTAGAGTCCTCACCTTATTTATTAAAATCTTGAGTATACATTATCTACGTCACCATTATTTAATAACTTTAAAGCATTTATTTTCATTTAAGTTTATGAGTCAATTAAGAGAGTTGCAGATGGCGAAAGACAAAGGTGAATGGCACAAGTTGTCTCAAGAACAAAAAACCGAAAATGAGAATAATTTTCAACATCTAGGATTAATGGCGAGATATCATAATGTTTTGGGGTTGGAAACAATAAGAGTTTTAGCTTACGTCACGCGTTATATTCATACAATATTCACACACTCTACTATGGTCAATCGAATCACTAGTATGCTCAATTACTTCTTGCTTCATTTGGTAAATACAGCAGATTTTAAGATATATATTTTTTTTCAATAAAGGTTGGACCTAAGAAAAAAAACTTGAAAGTCAAAGATCTATCAATTTATGAATTTAGACCTCAAGAAATAGTCACGACCATATGCCAGATTTACGTTAATTTAGGAAATAGTGTTGAGAACTATCTTAAAGGTCAAGAAATTTTTTTACAGAACATGGATGCATCTTCTTCGTCTACCATTAGTAATATTTATATTATGTCAATTTAATTTAATATAATCAATAGATGATTTAGAGAAATTAAAAATATCTGAAGAAGAATTTCTTAGAGCAGTCAGTCATGATGGAAGGAGTTATTCGGCAGGTTTATTTACTCAAGCTCTTGATGTTTTGCAAAAAATCGGAAACAAAGCAGCTTCAACATCTCTTAACGATTCATTTTCATCGTTTTCCACCTACACTATGGCTTCGAATTTAAGTAGCCAACTTGACATTGTCGCTCAAAAGGTTAAGGTTTAAAATTCACATGTGTTGGCTTCTCTAAAGATTATTTATCATAGAATTTCGCCGTAGAACAAGAGCAAGAAGACGAACTTATGGCCGATGCCCCTGATGAATTTTTAGATCCAATTATGAATACTCTAATGATTAATCCCGTTATTCTGCCAACATCAGGAAAAGTTGTTGACCGGTCGACTATTGCCAGGCATTTGCTTAGGTTCGATATTAATTTAAAATGTTTAATGTATTGATTAAATATCTTAATTTAAATAATCAATATTCTAGCGACCAAAATGATCCATTTAACCGACTACCTCTAGCACTAGAAATGGTAAAGAGTGATTTTGTTTTAAAGGAGAAAATTGAACAGTGGAAAAGTTCAAAAAGGAACTGATAGCATATCTCATCATAATATTATAATAATATTGTCATTTCCAATACATTGTTTGGTCTTTTTAGCAATATTATTATAATTTCATTTTTGATGGACAATTTTTATGATTACTAAATAGTGGTTTTATATAATATTATTAATGATAATTATATTTATGGTTTATTAAATATTATTTATATTTTTTTCCAAGGGGCGCAATAAAAATTTATTAAAATGAGATATTGTATCATAGATTAAGGTATAAATAAGATACATATAATTCGTGGGTAATAAATTGTTATACACGATTTAAAAATAATAAAATCCCAAATATTATAATCAAATAAATTTCACATTTGCTGAGTCGAATTTCCATTCCAAGTATTATTATCATCCGAATTTTCAGATTCATCCTTAAGGGTAACTATATTCGACGTAGATGCATCTTTATTGTTCTGATTATTTCTTTTTCTGGATCTTAAACTTTTTATTCAATAAGATAACTAGTAATCAATACAAAAAATAAATACCTTTGATTCTCAATTTTGTAATTGCGACTCGTACTTGGTTTATCGTGATTAGATGATGTGGTTACTTGATCATTTATATTTGAGTTATCCGTTAACTTGGAAGTCAGTTTTACAATTATTGATTTAATGATGTTTGATACATAAATAATTGGATTTATGATCCAATTACTTAAGATGTCCCATTCCTGAAAGATTGCTATACCAATTGAATACTTTTTAGCAAAGTGATTTTTTCTTTCTTTCTAAAATGTTTTTATTATAACATATCAATGCACAAAAATTTATTATAATACAATTACTAAAATAATGATCAAAACTGCGGAAGGCACCAGATCTAAATTTTTGAGATCGTTTTCCAAGTTATTTTCAAAAACACGACGTGGAAAATTGGAAGCCAAATTAAATTCATCAATTTTATCTTTAATTTGCTAAATTGAATTTGAAATTAAAAGCATAAATATTTAAAAACTTCTTTAACATCTTGATATAAATCACAAAACTTGGTGGAGGTATCGTATTGGCGAGTGATATTGGAACCGTCTGGAAAACGAAATTGAATACGAGTAATATTGGGGCTATATGGATATACATTATATTATAGTTTAAAAAATTATTATCAATATTCTGAAAAAATATGTTTTTTTATTACTTACAATTTCTATTTTAGTTTTAAAATACAAAAATTATGTTAAAAAATGGTTGCAAAAATTATAAAATAGCTAACTAAGTCCACGCAGAATTTAAAGGAAGCAAAAAATCACTACATTACTAGAATAAAGGTTAACACATCAAAAAATTAGGGAAAACTAGGGTAGATTTAATGATCCTTCCTTTGATGGCGTTATTATCCTTTGAAAATCCTATATAATCGCTGATCACACTCTTTCGGAAAAAAATAGCTGCGTTGAATCACTTTTTTCCTGAATGCACTTATCTGAACATTTTTTATTCTCTTCTCTGCTAAATCATGAATTTCTTCTATCTATTCTCTCGGTTAAATTTACAACTAAATTAAAATGAGCTCAACGCCATTAGTATTCGTTTATAACCCCATACTTGCTCCGGATGCAACTCAACTGTTGAGGGAAATTGAGGGCATCCTTCATTATCGTTCTTAGGCGTATTGTTATATAATCTATGTAATTCGATCACCCTAAGAGGTTTGGGATAAGCTAAAATTCCTTCCACTCTAGAGCCTACATATTTTTTCAGATCTATGGGAAACGTCCTGGTGGAATTTCTTAAATGTCTCAAGAGGGGCCATTTCGTGGTCTGGGATTAATCTTGTATTAGACGGGTAGGCAGCTAAGTGGGGGGGGGGCAGTCTTCAGCAAATAAATTTTTGAGGCTGAGAACCCGATTGGATTTATAGAAGCAACACCAAATGAAGAGGTGGAATCTGAGGTAAATGAAATGTCTGAATTCGTGGTGGGACAGAATATTTGGAAGTACGTAAGAAGGAATCCGGGGTGATCATGGAAAGTATAGGTATAGGACATAAATTGAATCGGGATAAGTTTTCCAATGGAATGGAAGGAGTAGGGCACCGGGACCAATTACAAAAGGAATAAAACCCTGGAGTGCGGTTGGGGTTATGAATTGTCTAAACATAGAAATTTACCGACTATTTTGGCTAACCATTCACTTTTAGCCTAAGTAATGAGAATTTTACCATTGGGGGAAACGATACAGCGAATACCTTTTGGCTAAACCATTGGGGAAATCGAAGATATTATTCAGAGGAAAAATCTAATGGAAGGGCCAAGCCAAGGACCGGATATGGTTAGACTCAACTTCTACGCAATAAATGGTATAAATAAAAGGTGGATCACAATTATTGGCGAACATAGATACAAGACTCTCGTGTAGCTAACTAACCAACGATATTAATGTTAGTATTCGAATCCTGAAAAGAACGATGAAAGAACAATAATTATGGAAAGTGGCTGGAAGTGAGGTTGAAATGCGACTTCTGGTTTTCAATTAGTGGTGCCCCTTATATTCATTTAGCATTAACAAAATAATTATTAGGTTTTTTTGAGTTAATTTTTTGTAACATTTATTTAGATTTGAAGGCAATTTATAATCATTTTTTTATGATCATTATTATCATATCTTTTTGTAAAATAGTGTTTATTTTATTATCCAGAAATATACATTATTTTTTGATTTCTGGGAGCATATAATTAGAAGAAAAAAAGTATTCATTAGGGAAATTGTCGCGACGCGACAATAAAAAAATGTAAAAGAATTATTGTGAATTATTTTAAGATATGTCGAGGAAATAAAGAGTTGAAAATATTTATAGCGACGCGTTTATTTTTTTCATTTGTCCGAACCTGGAATATTTAAAAAAATTATAAGCAAATCTATAATAATAAAAAAAGTGCACTTAAACTTTTTTTACTTTCAAAAATAAATAAAAAATGATAATTGACGAATTATTCTTTTCTTTCTATCAATAAATAATTCCACTATATTTTTTAAAGTATAGGTGGTATCAATTTTGATATCGTATTGGCTAAAAAAAAAAGTGATATCGGTGCATCTCTGGGTAATATTTTAATGAGGTCAAAGGAAAAAAAATCATAAATTACAAGGCCTTTCAACCTCTAGAACCATAAGTTTATGAGCAACTAAAAATAAGGAAGTAAATGATGTACAAGCCAATTCTCTTTTTGGTTTGATTTTAAGTTTTGATAACATTTAGGCTTCCTAAATTATAATAATGAAAATATATATTATATTATCTGCTAATATTAGTTTCACTCCAAATATAATTGTTTTAAAATCTAATACCATGTATATCCTAATATAATACATAAGATAAACCACAAAACATAAGAATATTAAAATTTATTTATTTTTAAAAAAATCATTTATCAAAATTTCAGGCCAGGCTGGATTTTTAAGCCTTGGGGGCAGGGATCCTATCCGAACCTTTAAATCTGTATTTTTTCGAACATGAACTGTTAAATAATTTTTAACCTGAACCGAATCGGTAAAAATTTATAACCGAATTGTTTTAAAGATTATTGTAAATTAATTTAACTTCTTTATACTAAAATTTTAAAAACGGTTATTAATGCCTAAGGATGAATTAAATCCAATATATATATTATTTATACATATACTGTTATAAATGATGCATCTAAATGAACATGGAATTAAATTATTCGGTCCGGCCCAGGTATTTTTTAAAAAATTTTTTAGGCCCTCCAGCCAGGTAATTATAATTAAAAAATTTTTTTAGGCCCAGTCCGGGTATATATAAAAAATTAAAATATGGCTGGCCCGTGTACCTGAGCTTAGGGCCGGGCATGCAGGTCTGATATAATTATATACAAGAATTAAACCCGGTTTTTAGAGGTTCAAACCGAACCGATATTATTTTTTGAGAACCGAACCTGAACGATTATTTTTTTAGAACCAAAACGGATATTGATATCGGTTCGAATCCCTGCCTTGGAATTCCTTAAATAATTTGGATATGTTTTAAAACATTAAAAGAAAAATATTTAAAATTATTTTCAAATTTTTTAATTGAGAGGAGCATAACAAATAAATTATGTTTTGGGTCAAAAAAATTTTGGATGCAATCATTGAAAAATTAAATCTACTACTTTTTAAAAGTAGTTGTAATTAATTAGAGTCATTCCATATTAAATCAAACAATTTTCAGCCGACCCCTTTCAATTTCGATAAAAATTTGTAGGCATGCTATATATATTCTATTAATATAAAGACATTTTAGCTTATTAAAAATTATATTACCTGAGATTGGAATTATACAAAATCGACTTTTTTTAAACTTTTTTCTAATGTTAAATAAATAGTTTTAAATTAAAAACAAAATTGGTTTCCAATATTATCTAAATCAATAATTGATAATTAAAGGGGTGTCGAATATGTGTATTGAATTAATTATAAATTTAAAGACATTTGAATATAAATTTTGAAAAGATAAAATGTTTAAATTGTAAAGTTAATCGAAAGGTTAAATAATAAGAAAATTAAAGGACAATTATATAAAATATCGATGGTATATTTTAGTAGTATAAATAGTGTTGCGTAATTGGTTAAAAATACGCCTAAGCCTAATTAGGCTTAGCTAAAAATAATTAGTCAAAAATTCTGCAACGGCTAATCGTCCGTCAGCGTTCCATAAGATATGCCTAGCATAAATTGTTAATTATTATCAACGAATAAACATATGATTTATTATTTTTTATTTATTTTATTATGAAATGATATTTATTTGATGTTTTTTTAATAAAAAAAATAATATGCTCCTATTGTAATATTCTTTTTAATACAATTTCTTAGTGATTTTCACAATCTTCTTTCTAAATAAATCTTTTATTGAGGAATTCTTTTGTAACAATCTTTTTAGGTGAAGTCTTTTATAATTTATTTATCATTTTTGTAAAATTATCCATTTTTTTTATTAAAGGAGGTGGATTTTTCTAAATTTTTAAAAATATTTATATTAAACTTTTTTGAAGTTAATTTTATATGATCTTTTTAAGGATAATATTTTAATGTGACAATTGTCATATTCATTATTTTTATAGTTTTTTGAATTTTTTAGACGAAAATAGGTTAAAATAAGTATTGATAACATTTAAATAAAAATTTAGCTAAGATGTACCATAGAAAAGTGACAATTGTCATAAACGTTATTTTTAAAGTTTTTTGACGCAAATGGGCAAAAATATAGATTGTTAGCATGTTAAATTAAAAATTTAGTGAAGATGTACCATAGAAAAGTGACAATTGTCATAGTTGTTATTTTTAAAAATCTATATTTTTACCCATTCCCGTCAAAAAAAAACTTTAAAAATAACGATTATGACAATTGTCACTTTTCTATGGTATATCTTCATGAGATTTTTAATTTAACATGCTAACAATCTATATTTTTGCCCATTTGCGTCAAAAAACTTTAAAAATAACGATTATGACAATTGTCACTTTTCTATGGTACATCTTCACTAAATTTTTAATTTAACATGCTATCAATCTATATTTTTGCCCATTTGCGTCAAAAAAATTTAAAAAACTTTAAAAATAACCACTAAATTTTTATTTAAAAATGTTATCAATAATGAATATGACAATAGTCACATTAAAATATTATCCTTAAAAAGATCATATAAAATAACGTCAAAAAAGTTTAATATAAATATTTTTTTAAAATTTAGAAAAAACCACCTCATTTAATAAAAGAATAGATTATTTTACAAAAATGATTAAAAAAATTTAAAAGACTTCACTTAAAAGATTGTTTATTTATCTAATAAAATTTACAAAAGAATTCCTCAATAAAAGATTTAATTGTATTAAAAAGAATATTACAATAACAGCATATCATTTTTTTATTAAAATAAAACATCAAATAAATATCATTTCATAATATAATAATATAAATAAAAAATATTAAACCATATCAAGGTTATTTGTTGATAATAAAAAATAATTACATTAAATATAAATAAAATAAATTATTTTATTAAAATAAATAAATAATAATTAATGCTAGGCATATCTTACGGAACGCTGACGGATGATTAGCCGATGCAGAATTTTTGACTAATTTAGTTTTAGCCGATTTAGGCTTAGATTAGGCTTAACCGATATTTTCACCTAAAATCTCGGCTAAGCCGTTTAGTCGGCTAAAATTAGCCGATTAAGCAAAACTAAATATAAATATAGAGATAAAAAATGTAATATTAAGAAGAAAAAGAAAGGGAAACCTTTATAATTTTTTAGTTTTGATTTTATGTCTTTTTTAGTTTATTTATATCTTCGATTTTAATTAAAATTAATAAATGGCATTTTCAATTCGTATTAATATTAAATTTTCAACTTCTAACAAGGGGAAGCATCAAAATTAAATTTTTTCAAATATTGGCCATGTTATATCCAGTAAGAAATTTAAAATGAAAATTTTTAATTTTGATCTTCAATTTTTCAAAATTTATTTTTCTATTATTCATTTACTAATTTTAAAAGATGGAACTATATATAAGTATTTCAATGCAATAAAAGGCTTCTATCGTTAAAAATCATTTTAAGGAATTATAGTTAATTTACGAGTAATTTCATACATTCTCAGTTAATAATTGCTAATGAGCTAAATCGTTTTAGATTTCTAAACATATATAACGTGCCTACAAATTTTTATCGAAAATGAATGAGGTCGGCCGAAAATCTCGATTTTATCGTTCATATTACATAGAGCTCATAAGCTATATTTTTATGCTTGACCCTCATTTTTTTGAAAAATAGAATAATTAACAGATCAAAATTCAAAGATTATTAACACTCTACCTTGTAGGTGATGGCATATCATGATAACTTGTGGTTTTAGTCATATTTAATTTATCTTCTTCACTTATTTTCTCTAAACATTTGGATTTCTTTTCCTTTCTGAATGAAAAATTGTTATTATCAATTATATAATATAATAAACTTATCATTTTCAATTTGTTGCAAAATTCTTTCTCTACCCAAATCGACATTTAACTTTTTGTAAATATTAGTTCTTTCAATTGGTGTCTTTGATACTTTTTCTTTAAATTCATTCTTATTATCCATACTATAATACTTCTTCATTAATTTCAATAAAATAAATTTTTATTAACTATTATGTTATCAATTAAGCAGAGTTGTTAATCGCTATTTTTAAAAGTAGCGCGCTACCGCTATCGCTATTTGTCAAAAAAACTAGCACGCTACCGCTTTCGCTATTTGTAAAAAAAGTAGCTCGCTATTAGCTACTATATTTTAAAAGTAGCTTTAGCTACTTTTTATAAAAAAAAATTTAGAAACAAATTTGTTTTATTTTTTGCTTTTATGTTATTGTATAGTAAATATGTAAAAATCAACATTTATAAATATTAAAATATAGTTAGTTTTGATTATAAAAAAATTTATGTAATAAAATATTTATGGTAATTTTTTGCATTCTAGTTTTTACCTAGTGTTATGTGTCCAACTATCTGCCATGGTACATATATATGATATCTTGATAACTCTACTATTAGAGCAACTTTCATCACTTTAGTTATCTGCTATTTTATTCATTAGAGTCTGGCGACATAAAATTGTTGCATTAGGTGATAGAGTTTTATTCATCGGTAAAAACGCGTTCGTTTATAACACTACAATTTACCTTTTGGTGTTTCTTGAAGTTATAACTAGATTCGTTTGAGGAAATATTTTTTTTACATTTTAAACAAATAAATTTGAATTTAGTTTTGGTTTTTATATTTATTTTAAAAAAAATTTCAAATCTAGGGAATGGGAAATTTGTATTATAGCTATTAAAAACATTTTCTTCCCTGGAATCTTCCATTTCATTAATATCATTGTCTAAATCACTTTCAACGATTTGGATATCCATAGGCGATGACATTTTATTATCAAATGATTTAGGTTTATAATACAAATGAAAATATAAATTACAAATTGAAAATATATTTCAATTTTCATGTTTATACTTACCTTCATTATATTTTTTAAAAGTAGCGGGCTAAAAAATTAAATAATTACAAAAAAAGAAGCCGCTATTAGCTATAGCTACCAAAAAAGATAGCGCGCTACTCGCTACTTTTGTTAAGTCAATTGTAAATAATAACTTAAACTTCGAGTCGATGTTACTTAAAAAAAAGTTTTAACATTTCATGTTCTCTGAAAAATTGTAAGGTCGTTACGTTTACATTACCCTTTACATCACTTTAAATTACTGCAACTATAAAAAATATTCCATAAATTCCTTTTCACTAATCGATATTATATAAATTACATAGATCCCAAAATAAAAAGAAATAATTGCAACATATTTTTTTTATTATAATTCTTTGATTATTAAATCCATTGCCAAACCATTTTTAATAATCGTTAAACGAAAGTTCATACCTCATCGCCTTGCGGTATCGATCACCCGTTACCGAAGATTGTAAAAGTGTACTTATAATATCAGTATTGCCACTTAGGGAAAACTTAAATATAATTCCAAAAAAAACATTTTTACAACAAATTATACAAAATATTGAAAAATGAGTATGTAAAATTAATCTCAAGTGGTTAATTTTATTTTTTGTTATATATTTTTAAAATCTTTACAAGTATATTTAAAATTTTATTAATTCAACTTCTAAAGCTAGGAAAGATAATCGATTACGATATCTTCTTTAGATATTTTCCAATAGACTATATATAGGCTCTAGTGTGGTAAATTCGTTGGTTTTACACGACCGCGACCCTGGTTTTTGGTCGAAAAAATGAAACCAAATGAACCAAAACCAAATGAACCAAAACCAAATGAACCAAAACCAAAGCAACCAAATTGGTCGACCTGGTCGACCCGAGCACCGACCCGATTTATTTTATATAAATAAAAACATGATATTATTTAATATTTTTATTTAGTTAATATTGAAATGAAATTTTAATTATTTTTTATTATATTGAAAATAGTTTGATGTTTTTTAATAAAAAAATGTAATTATAATATCATTTTATAACAATAAATTTGTGATTTTCACGCCCAAAATTTTAAGCAATTGATAATTTGATAAGAATAAATTCTGTAAATAAATCTTTTTTGAGAAATTCTTTTGTGAATTTTAATATAAATAAACAATCTTTTAGATGAATGAAATATTTTATAGTTTTTTTTAATCATTTTTCTGAAATTATTTTTTAAGTATACTAAAAGAAGTTGTAATTTCTAAATAATTTATTAAGCATGCTTAAATTTCAGGGAAGATGTACCCTAGATAAGTGACAATTGTCATAATCGTTTTTTTTAAGTTTTTTGAATTTTTTTGTCACAAATTGGAAATAATTAATATTGAAAACAAATTTAAATAAAACTTCAGTCAATATGTACCCTGGATAAGTGACAATTGTCATAATCGTTAATTTTAAAGTTTTTATTTTATTTTGTCGCAAATTGGAAATAATTAATATTGAAAACAAATTTAAATAAAACTTCAGTCAATATGTACACTGGATAAGTGACAATTGTCATAATCGTTAATTTTAAAGTTTTTTGCCTTATTTATAGGAATAAAATATTACTTGAGGAAGTTATACTACTGTATTTTTTGGAACAATGTATACATTGTTTATGCATCTTGGTGGGAGTAACAACAAGACTCCCCTTCATAACTAACGAGGTAGAAGAATGGTTAAAAGAAGGTTCTGAATATTGTGTAGACTGTAATTGGGCCGAAATTAAATCTAATCCAACTTCCATCATATCGATGTCACTAGAATTCATGCTAAAAATAAATCTTCGCTAAATTTTAAATACTAATTTAAATAATATTTATTTCAAATTTAATATATTTATTTATTACTTATATGAATAAAGATTAATTAATGATCTCGATCTATAAATAGAATTTATTAGTTATTTATTATTTATGAAATTCGAAAAAAATAAAATTCATAAATATTTCGGTTATTGCTTAAGTCGAGGGGTATATTTTTTTTTGTTATTTTTTTTATGTTATTTTTTTTATGTTATTTTTTTTATGTTATTTTTTTTATGTTATTTTTTTTATGTTATTTTTTTTATGTTATTTTTTTTATGTTATTTTTTTTATGTTTTTTTTAAATGTTATTTTTAATTAATATAGTATTATTTGGTGTAATTTTTTTTGTGATAAATTTTTAAATTATTGTTGCATATTTTTATTATTTAGTGATAATTTTTTTTTGTGATAAATTTTTAAAATAATGTAGCATATTTTTATTATTTGGTGATAAATTTTTAAATTAATATGTATTTTTTCTTTTAAGATATTTTTTTCTTTTTTAAAAATATTTCTTAATTCCTAGGGAGGGGAGGTAGGTAAAAGAATTGTGTCTACATATTTTTTTAAAAATTGTTTTTTTAAAGAAATAATTCGTAGTTCCGATTATTATTAGATTATGTATATATATATAATATGATTCCTTCCATACTAACTTAATATTATTTCCGTTTTTTTCTTTTAAAATGAATATTTTTACACTAGGTGTGTTTACTAATACTGTTGAAACAACTTATCAATTTTGCCTTAATAATCAATTTATCCCTTTAGGAATAGAGCATACTTGTTGCAATTCCATAATGCGGGTAGAAAAAAATAAGAATAGTTTGCGATATCGATGCAATAGATGTCGTAGATTATATTCGATATGGAAAGGTAATATTAATTTTATATCATAAATGACAAATTTTTAGATTCTATTTTTGAAGGGATTCAGGACGTTGGGAAATTTTTAAGACTAGTATACCTGTATATAAGTAGTAATTATTTAAAAAATATTAAAGAACAAAATTATTTTTAGGCCGTTATAAAATTTTAAGTGCTTCGAAGGAATTGGATTATCATAGGAATGCAATTTCTGGATGGTAATTTAAAGTAAAATATGGTTTTTATATTTAATTTATATAGGTTTAAAAAATTTCGCAAGGTATGTGGGTTCCATATAGCTTCGAATCATACAAAGATCGGAGGGCCTGGCAGAGTTATCGAAATAGACGAAACTCATGTGTGGAAGCGTAAATATAATCGTGGCCGGCATTTGATTTCCGAGGCTATATGGATCATCGGTGGCATATGTCGCGAGACGGGTGAAATGTGCAACAACAACGAGGGATCAAGATACCACACTGCGTGTGGTTAAAGATAATGTTATGCAAGATTCCACGATAATGACTGACTCATGGTTAGGGTATGTAAATATATTTTTCTGTAAATCAAAAGTAGTAATATTCTATTTATCTTAGATATAATCGGTTGGATAAAACAAATTATTTCCATTATAGGGTCAATCATTCCCGAAACTTCGTTGACCCAAATGATACATTCACACCCAAAAAGTCGAAAGACTGTGGCGGGATCTTAAGGAAAACTATAAAAGACATGGGGATCGAGAGAATATTCATGAATATTTACTTGAATATAGATATTTTAGAAAACATAAATTATTAAATCGCTTTGATCTTTTTATTCTATTTATAAATGACTGTATACATTTTAATACAATTTTTCAATTTAATGAATAAAATTGACTCGTTTATTACTATATTTCGATATTTTTATTTTGTATAAATTTCAATAATATATTTCAATTTATTTCGAATTAACCCTTCCCAACAAAGGTTAAAAAAATCACTTAGAATTTAAAGATAAGGTCTATTTTACCCCTAATAAATACAAAATTTAAGATTTTATGCTAATTTTCCTAAAATTGCTTAGATTATCAGACTATATTTCAATTTAATGAATAAAATTGACTCATCACAATTCTTCTACCCTCCTCCCCTCCCTAGGAATTAAGAAATATTTTTAAAAAAGAAAAAAATATTTTAAAATATCTTAAAAGAAAAAATACATATTAATTTAAAAATTTATCACCAAATAATAAAAATATGCTACATTATTTTAAAAATTTATCACAAAAAAAATTATCACTAAATAATAAAAATATGCAACAATATTTTAAAAATTTATCACAAAAAAATTATCACCAAATAATACTATATTAATTTAAAATAACATTTAAAAAAAACATAAAAAAAATGGTAAGCGGAAAATAATTCCCCG